CAGCCCCCAGCGCCCCCCTCCCGACCCCCAGCGCCCCTCCCTCCCGACCCACAGTCGCCTCCCAGCGCCCCTTGCTGCCAACCCACAGCACCCCCGGCGCCCCCCTCCCGACCCACAGCCCCCCCAGGGCTCCTCACTCCCGACCCGCAGCCCCCACCAGTCCCGTCTCTCCCCGTTGCAGAAATACTCCTCGGACCTGGACTGCTCGGCTGCGCTGCAGGAGCTGTATGGCTACATCAAGAAGTACTACGACCAGGTAGGGGGCGGGCCGTGGGGCAGGAGGCACCGTGGGGCAGGGCGTGCTGTGGGGCAGCGGTAACCCCCCCGCTGTGTGTTGCAGATCATCAGCGCCCTAGAGGAGGACCCTGTGGGGCAGAAGATGCAGCTGGCCTGTCGGCTGCAGCAGATCGCCGCCCTGGTGGAGAACCAAGTCACCGACCTGTGACTGGCCCCACGCCTGCGCCACGGATCCCCAACGTTCCTGCTCCCCCCTCAAACCTCCCCAGATCTCAGGGATCCCCTTGCGCCCCCCCCAGCCCACACCCCACTGCCTCTCCCCCAGCCCGGGGATCCCCCCCAGTGCCTTATGCAACGCTGCAAAGGGGGTTCCCTGCACCCCCACAAGCTCCTGTCGGTAGAGGTGTATGTCTGCCCTAGCTGCCTTCAGCCCTCTTTGGGGTGCCCCCGACCCCCTCACTGAGATTTCAGGGTACAGGAGCCCCCCCTTTCTTCAGCCCTGGGGTCCCCCAGGCAAGTAGTGCACTAATCTGGGGTGTCTGTAGCCACCCCTGCTTTGTACAGAGCGGTGCTAATGACCCCCGAGAACCCCCTATTTCGAACCCCCTTGTACAGGCCCGGAGCTCGGCCTTTGGATGTAATTTATTTTCAGCAATAAAAACACTTTTCAGAAATTGGGTTTCTGGCCCTTTAATTGGGGGGTGAATTGACCCCCTGAGCCAGCCAACACCCCTGTTATGGGGGACAGGACCCGTGCCCTCCCCCCCGAGCCAGCCCACACCCCCCTGCACCCCTGAGCCAGCCAACAGCCCCCTCCACAGGGGACAGGCCCCGTGCCCCCCCGTGCTGCCCGTCACCCCTCCCCGAGCCAGCCAACACCCCCATACGGGGATGTGACGGAGCAGGGAGGGGGAGTGTTACGGGCACTCCCTGCATCGGTGCTGGCTGGGGGGGATCTCGGGGTGACTTCACTTGAGGGGCGACACCTGAGTGTAACCTGAGCCGGGAGGGGGCTGGGGCCAGGTGACCCCTTCTGCCCGGGACACTGGACAAAGGCTGGAGGGGGGGCTGGAGGAGGGGCTGGTGGGTGGTGGGGGTCAGATTGGAGCTGGCTGGGGAGACGGGGTCTGGGCTCCCCACCCCCAGGATGGACCCAGCTGAGGGGTCCTGGTCTCTGTCCCTACGAGCTCCCCCGTGTTCCTGGTGGCGAATAACCCTTCGCGGGGACTCGCAGGAAGTGGGGTGCAGGCCCGGCCCCCCCACACGCCGTGACAGTGCCCCCCCGAGCCGGCCGGATTGGGGCCGGATTGGAGCCAGCACCCTCTAGGGGGCAAACGCCCCTGCCCTATCCCCCCCCCCCCAGCCAGGAGATGGGGGGCTGGGGGGCTCATTGGGCCTGGGAGGGAAAGAGGAGTCTGGCCTGTCTGTGTCTGGAACCCCCCCCCTTAAATTGGGGGTCTCATCCCAGGTACTGCCAGAGAGATTGATACAACCCCCCTTCCTGGGGTCCCCCTCCCCTTCCCCACTTCCCCTCCCCCTCCCGGGATTCCCCCACGTGGAGCAGCAGCTGTTCCCCTCCCCCGCGGGGGGCACATGCGCCGGCTTGGCAGGGAGAAATGAGCAGCAGGAAGGGTGAGGGGGGCAAGGGGGGCTGCCGGGGGGAGGAGGGCAGCGGGGGGGCATGATGCAATGGCTGGAGGTGCTGCCAGGACCCCCCCCCCACTAACCCTCCCTCTCCTCCCCCAGGTCCAGGCAGCTCCCAGGGCAAGAAACCCAAAAAGAAACACAGGAAAGAAAAGGGACCAAGAGCCACGGCCCCCAGGTGAGA